AACCCAGGCTGTCTTTCCTGGGTCACCATTCATATCTTCTCATGGTCCTTATTCTGTATCCTCATGTGATGCAGAGGTGATTTTCTTTCTCTGAATCCTCACTGAATGCCTGGGAGGCAGATCTGGTGGGAGATCAACTGTCTTCTGACCAACTCCCCCCCTACCTCATAGCTCTTTGCAGTAATGAGCCTCAGCTTACCACTCTGCTGGACTTTCTGGCTGGTGCAACAGCAGAAGACCTGCCCTGAGCACCAGCAGCCTGGGACACTGGCAGGAGGGTTGGGGACCAGCTGAGGTGAGGAGGGCTGATTCTGGTCTCCCCTGGCTGGAATCAGAGTCCTCCTCTGCTTCTCTCATGCCTGCATCCCTGCAGTGTCTTTGATTTTCTCACCTTGGAACAGGACTAGCAGAAAGTAGGTGCCCTGGGCTCGGAGTAGCCTCTTGCAAGAGCCCAGGGACAAGGGAACGAGCCCACCACAGCCAGAGAGCGTGGATGAAGCACTCAGAGTGCACTCAGGAGCTTTCTCCCCTTTTCTTTGCTATAAAAATCCAGGTTGGGTCGTCAAAAGATTTATTAAAGATCCCAGAGATCTCCTCCGGCTTTTTTGGGCTGGGGTTGAGCGGGTGGGTGGTAACTGGAGCAGATGCTCCGGAGTTGGGGATATTTCTGTCTCATCTCGATTGCTCAGAAAGCCTTCCAGAAACCCATCACCTGATTTATTGCCCCGCTGTCACTGTTTGTCCCCACTCCTCCAGGAGGAGATCAGAGGCTGAAGCCTCTTGGTTCCTCCCCAAGTGGGGCTTCATTTTCCCAAACCCAAGGAGGGTTTCTCCCCTCCCCAAGCGCAGTGCAAAGTCAGGACGTGCCAGAATTTAAAGGAAAGATACAAGTCAGTTGTTTAAATCACTGCATTCATGAGGAAAACTGGTTCTTTAAGTGCCAGGTGGGGCTGAGCCTCACCTGCAACCCCCCAGGTGATGGGCTGGGGCAGGATCAGACCCTCCTGGACTGACCCAGAACTCTTTATAGAAGAGGTCCCTGGGCTCACAGAGGGGTTTTGGCTCCTGGGTGCTGGTGAGTACATTTGGCACTGCAGGAACAGAGACCTATTTTTGTCAGCCTTCTGGTGCTGTGAAGGGGACAGGCTTTTTTGGGGATGCTGGTGCTACTTCACGCTCGTTTCAGCTGATGGGGGGGGGGCTGCCAATTGCATGACTCAGGGTGGTTTAAGGAAAAGTGCAATGAAAATATGAGGGTGTTGGCTCCCACCTCCTGTCTCTCCTGCTGCCAGGGTGCGTACAGCTGTTTCCTTTAGCTCAAAACTTGATGCTAAAATTACTTCTGGAAACTTGGGGGTGCTGGCATCCCAAATTGCCTTATTTTGAGCTTTTTCCAAGACTTCTTTTTTTTTTTTTTTTTTTTTTTTTCCCTTGATTGCTTTCTCCCTGTATGAAGAGGCTGCCAGGTACTTCCCTGCTTGGTAACAGAGGTTTCCAGCAGTGGGGTTTGGGACGTGGCATTGGTGTCTCTATGAGAGGTACAGGGAGGCTGGCCAGAGGAGGAAGAGGAGGAGGAGGAGGCCAGGAGGGATGAGCACAGCCCAGCTGAGTCAGAGCTGGGGAAGTGACCCCTGGGATCGGCCAGATTTACACCAGCCCCAGGCTGTTCTCAGTCCAGCAGTGAAATACTCCTCCCACCCACCACCTCTTCTCCACTGGCCGTGAGGCAGGAGCCATCCTGCTCTCCAGCCTGGAGATGTCACCCAGAGGATGTTTGCCCCAGGCAGCTGGAGCATCCTCCGTCCTCCCTAAGATACAGGTCCTGGGAGGTGGGGAGAGGTGCTGGGGGAGCAGCACAAAGCTCTCAGGCTGTATTTATCCTCTTTGCTGTGGAGCAGGGTCAGAGGCTGAGTTTGGGTAAAGGCTGGGGTTTGGGTGACTTTGTTTCACCAGCCCCTACAGAGCCATGGGAAAGAGCAGCAGGAACGTGGTGGCTTCTCCTCCATGTCATTGCTGGGGGAAACTGAGGCAACATACAGATGCCCTCTGTGATCATGTGCATCAGGTCTCTCAGGGTCCCAAATCATCTCCTCCTGCTCCCTGTTGCTTCCCACCCTGCAAAGAGAGGGTCCAGGTGGCTGAAATCCAGACAAAAACGCTCAGGAAAATCTACCCTGCCTGGGGATTTTGTTTCTTTCCCCTCATTCTCCGTTATCCCTGGAGTCCTTCCCTGTGGCACAGCAGGCTCTGAGCCCGCCTTGGGCAGTGTGTGGCCCCTGTTTCTGCCCTTCAGAGCAGCCCCCCACAACTGTGATTGAAATGCTTTCTGGATGTTGAGTGATCCAGGTGCTATCGGACTTTATCTGCAATCACCCTCCGGGATGCCTATCCCCAGCTGAGCAGAGAATTACTCCGAGCAACGTTTCCTTTCAGATATTCAATTTTAACTTCCTCTTTCTTTAATTTAATTCCATCATTCCTCCATTTCACCCCCCGGGAAGCGATATCGCATCCTGATATCCAGAGAGAATTTGCTTTGCCGTCTTTAATTTGACTCTGCTATTAAAAGGCAAAGAAGAGGCAACGCTCCAATTTGTCTGACGGGTTCTTCATTCGCCTCTCTCATTTCACCACTCTTCCATGCTTCCCAAAGCCCCCAGTCCGGGCTTCCCAAAGGCCCCAGTCCATGCTGGCAGCAGATTCAGGAGCTCCTGGTGTTGTGCCGGGAGGGGGGGAAGGATGTGGCTCCAGACCCTGGTCCCCATCCATCCCTCTCGGTCCCCAGCGCGGGGTCAGCCCCTGTATCAGCTAATCCCTTAATGCGCTCTGCCACGATGCTGCTGCTGCCACGCTCCCGTTTCCCCGAGTGTTTCTCTTCCCCCCCGAGCTATTTTTATGAGGCCTTTTGTTACTTCCTAATTGTCCAAACCACTTTTCCACATTTCTCTTGATAAAGGCAGATTTCTAAAAGCAGTTCAGCATCTCAGCCATTTTAGAATCATCATCTGCTTCATCCTTTTTATTGTTTAGCAAATGGCCTACTTTCGCTCGAACATTTTTATTCCCCCCCCAAGAGAGGGTTGATTTTTTTTCTCCCCCCTTTTTCTAACGGCTTTCTTCTACCTCTTAAATAATTCCTCTTACATTGACTCTTTCTGCCTTTATTTTATTATTTTATTCCCACCCATTCCTCTGCTGGGCCAGCCCCCACAGGCTCTGCCTCTCTCCCAGTGCTGGGACTTGGTTTATTTTATTTCCTTTTCCTTGCAAACCCCTTGGGTTTGGGGGTTTGGTGCGTTTATTGAAGAGGGGGAAGTGCCAGCGCTGGGTTTCATTCCCCCATAGCAATGTGCTGGGGAGCACAGGGGGGTGGTTGGCATGACACTGGCCATACAGAGCACGTTAGTGGGATTTTTTACTTTTCCAAGCCTTTTTTTAGCCAAAAACTGTCATGTGTATCTGCTGTTCACACGCAGCTTCAGCCCTTCTCTGGTGTTTTCTGAAGAAACTAGTTGTTGGAGGAAAATCCAAGCCAGCCCCCAGTCCTTTACCAAAGTGAAGGGGGGATTTAGCCCCAAAATGGAGCCTTTGGAGCTGCCTGGGGACTACCATCAGCTTTGGCAAATTATTGCCTATCAGAGGGAAGGAAATAGAAAGGAGGCAAAATGCACCACAGCAAAACGGTGTTGTTTCCAAATATTGAAATGAGGGGCACGAAGGTAAAGGGAACTTTTAATCTCAGAGGCAAACAAACCCTTTCGCTCCAGCTGATGCAGATGAGATTGCAGGAGGGAGGCAGCAGGTAGGTAAGAGAGTTTGTTAATGGTTTTTTAAATGCTTTTAAACTCCTCACCAGCCTGCTGTGCCCTGGGGCAGCCTCCTTCAGGTTGTAAGGATAGAGAGCGCCAAAAAAAAATCGCTCTGGGAGATGATGAATCCCACTCTGGTCCAACCGAGTCCTGACTGGTGGCTTGTGGAGGACCTGCTTTGCTATAAACTTGACAGAAACAGGAGCTTTTGTATTTGCTGTTTAAGACAATTTCTTTATAAGGAAAAAATATGTCAGGAAGATTAAAATTTAGGTTTGAAGCAAGCCTTTTTATTAAACCTCCTGAGGATTCAAATTGGTGTTTCTGTCGTGAGGTTTAAGCAAAGTCCTCGGCTGCAATAGCAACGTTCAGTTGGATTCCAGGTGTAACAAGTGATATTTTAAGATTAAAGATATGTACAACACATCCCTGTGCCCGCGCAGAGCTAAGTGGAAATGGCAGGACAAGCACATTGGTCCTCCAGTCACACATAGACGGTCTTCATGCTGGGAGAATGTAGGGCAGCACGTACTGCGATGCCCTGGTGGAGGGTGAGGATGGAGGGAAGGATCCAACTGGTGAGGACGGTGCGTGCCCATGGGCTCTTCGTGTCTGGCTGAAGCTCCTTCTTCCACCCAGTGCAACAGCCATGAGTGTGGAGCAGGAGGTGTGAGGGCAGGTGATGAGGCTGCCAAGTGGTACAACCGTGTAGTAGACACCAGCGAATCCACACAGGAAAGCAATGGTGTGATGTTCCAAATGAGAAAAGAGCTTTTCTGTCAGACCCCTCCCAGCAGACCCCAGAGTACCCGTTGCCAGCTGGGGTTTCCCAGCAAACGCTGACCTAGTCTTTTCCCCAGGGACTGCTCTTAATTGCCTGTAGAATCTCTGGTGTCTAGTAAGGAAAACACAATGCGGCCTTTTCCTCAGCGGGGCCATTAATTATGTCTTTCACTCCTCTGCCAGACTACGGATCCTCACCCAGCCTGTCAGAACATAATTCTCTTCAGATTCCTATTATTACTGTCAAATTTGGTTCAAATTGCCTCGTAAGGTATGAAATGACAAAGGAAGACGTGCCGGCTGTCTCAGGCACAGGGAATGTTATTAAATAAAGCTCTTTTCCTCAGGAAACTATGCCTATGGAAACCAAAATGCCATTATGATTTTGTTTGTTTCTCTGGAGCTCAGGATGTTCAGCCTGGTATCGCTGAGGGACACCAGCGACGCAGGTGCCATGGCAGGTCTCTGGCCGGCAGCAACATCCAGGGACCGTTCCCTCCAGGGATGCTTGGAGCCCCGTAGCTCCTCAGAAGACCTCTTCCAGCAGGAGCCCAGGATGAGTGACCCGTCCCTGTGTCCCAGGAAAAGCTCCTGACCTCAGTTTTTTACTGAGCTGGAAGCACATGGTGAGCATCGCGGTTGGAGATGGGATTTTACACCTTGGGGTTAAATGGGTTTTAGCTATGGGATCATTTCTTCTTTCTTTTTTTTTTTTTTTTTTTTACAGGGCTATTGTGGCTTTAGTCTACAACGTGTTGAAGGCATTTATGGAAATGAACAGCACCATGTTTGACGAGCTGACAGCCACTTACAAGTCAGATCGTCAGCGGTAACTTTTTAAAGCTTTTTTTGTCAGCTGTGCATAGGGACTGCTATTTAGTTTTTCCCTTACGCTCCGATGCAGCTGCATAATCTCACACGTAACAGACACAATGCCTTATTTTTCCCTCTTTGTGCTCTTTAGCCTTCTCTTTGCAAGATGTAAGATAAAATCACGTACAGGTTGTTCTTCACCCCCTATGAAACTCAGTAGCCATTGCGTTGCTTGGGAATCTGCATTCCTCATGGAATTCCTTTTGATGCCGCATTCCAAAAGACTTAAATGTATCAAGATCTTAATAACAAAAAAAAAACCCCAATGGTCTAAAGATAACGCTTTGCTTAAAGACTTCAACAAAGTCTCACTGATGTTTGGAAAGAGACGTGAGGGAAAAACCTAAGATTTGATTTTCCAAACTAATGTTCTTAGGCTGGATGTGGTCTTAAATTTTTTTTTTTTTTTTTTTTTTTTTTTCCCCCAAATAACCTCTATGGGGTGCAGAGCTCAATGCTTTCAGGGACTGGGAGCTCCTCTATTTTGAGGGCTTAAAAGCCACTTAACAGGGCATCTCCATCCCTTCCCTGGGATGTGCCAGTGTTTCTGCTCCTGTGTGGTTTGGCACTTGCCGTCTGCAGATAAAACAGAAGAAAAACAGCTTTATAAGGTTAACCCCAGGGGAATGGTGTCCATCCTTTGTCACCCGTCCGTCTCTGTGAGCAAGCACTGGGGAGGGTGGGAGCGACTGGCCGGGGACAGAGGAGGGATCCTGAGCGGCCGGATCCATCTCAACTCTGCAACAAACTAGAATAAAAGATTAAATGTTTCCTCTCCCTTTTTAGTGTGGCTTATGCCTTATTTATGACTCTCATTGAAAGCAGGGAGCGAGCGCAGGGAGATGGGCAGAATAATGCACTGGCTAAAGGTGGGGGAGAGGAATTGCCAGGGAGAATAAATTCTTGCAGTGAAGCCAGGGCTGTGCTGGGGGGAGCAGAACGGGGACAGGGGCTCATCCTGGATGGGGAGCATCCAGGCTCTGGGTGAAGCCCAGCTCAGGAGTTATAAAAGGCTTGAAGAGAAAACAGGGATCTAGTGGTGGATGAGGGCTGGGAGTTGGGTGGAAGCTGAGAGCAGGGAGGCAGGGCAGGACCCCGGGAGCAGCTGAACCCCAAGGACAGGATGACAAAATGACAGCCATCCCCTCGGCCAGGCTGTGCCTGGTGATGACAGCATGAGCTGGAGCATCCTGCACCCCAATGGGAAGGTGGAGGATGGGGAGCGATGTGTGCTTACCCTTCTCGGGGAACACCTTGTATGGGCTGCTCAGCCTCTGCAGAGGGACTGACAAAGCAACAGCAAGGAAAACTCTCTCCCTGAGTGCTTGGAGGCTTCACTTTTCTCAGCCCATCCTCTCTGTCTGAGTTGCAAGGCTGAAGTTGAGCGTATGGAGAAGGGAGATGGTTGGGCTGCAAGTGCTGAGCTCCTCTCTGCTTCCTGAGGATCTATCTCCAAACTCAGTGTGCAGCTAACCTAAACCCTAGAAATCATTTTAGGTAGTCTCTCCATCCTTTTGGAGCACTCCACAGCTTGCAGAAGTTGTTTGTGCTGCTTCCCCCGGACACGGGAAGGTGTGTGTGCAAACATGATCCCTCATTTCCTCTGATGTCAAGTAACCTCCCTCTCCCAGGGAAGGAAAGCAATGAGATGAACTTCATCATCCTCCATGAAACACCAAAACACCAAACCCAGCCACGATCCAGCTCAAAAATAGATCATTGGGATGTGAAGCAGCATGCATGTGGCTGTATGTTAGGGGAGGCATGGCACAGTAGTTTTGTGCATGTGTGAGTATTTGGATATGCCCTTGGTGACAGTGGGTGACCATAAACCACTGGTAAGGGACCACTCTTTGTTTTACCATGCCAAGAGGTTGAAAAATCTAGAAATGCTGGAAATTGGTCTACCAAGGTCTCCTGCTCATGCAGCTGCTCTATGCAGAAGCCTTACAGACTGAGCTTGATGCCTCCGAGCAGATGTTGCTCATCCCACAGCAGCAGCACTCACCTGCTTCACAGATGGCCCTGCTTAATGAGCAGCTACTTCGTATTTTTTACCCCCATGCCATGGGTCATCCCAGGTCTGAGCGATTCAAAAGTACTCATGGACAGTGTAGCCCAGCACGAGTAAAAGGGTTTTGCTCTGCCATGTGGCCTTGGGAATCTCTGATCCGATGATTGACTGGGAGGTGGATTTTGGAAGCCTTTGAAAGTCCTTTTTAAACCTGGGATGAAGCAGCAGGGTTGATGCATGGTATATCCCTTGCTTTTCCTCCAGCAAACTCCCATCTCAGGGCTTTGGATGCTGTGGCCACAAGGTTCACCCACCGTGGCAAGAGGATCTGCGCAGGAGGTGGTTTGAGAGCCCCTGAACTCGTTGCACACAGGATGCTTCGGTGCCAACGGCTGGTCTTTTTCAGACGAGGGACGTCGGAAGCGAAGGAGCGTCCTACCTCTGACATCTCCACTGAGCCGTATTATTAGTTTTGGCGATTAAATAGAAACCCGTTTGCAGGTGACAATGCTGTAAAAATAAGTAGGTACCAGAGCCGACATCGTGAAAATAAGGCAGGAGAACAGAGCTCAGGCAGCATACATAATCCGTGGGGAAATAAGTGTGTGAATAATGAATGTGCACTGGAAAAGTAAAATACATTATTGTGGTAAAGATAAGTCTATTAAAGTCTTGCTGCAGAGCCTGCTCTGGGGTGCCTGATAGATTACAGAGTTCTCCACCTCCGGGTGCAGCCCTCTCCTCTGCTTGCCCGTGTGGCCCCACCTGAGCATCCACCCAGCATGGGCTCACCAGACACCCCCGACTCACCTGGGATGGACACCTTGGATCTTCTTGGCCACTTTTCCTGCTTCCACTGTAAGTGCAGTGACTTGTAGCTGAGTTAAGGGAATCACCCTCGGGGATGGGAGTTGTGTGCAGCTGGGGGAGCTCGGTTCCTGAGCTTTGGGGTTTCTGCAGGCTCCACTCACACCCACGCTCAGCTGCTCGGCACGGCCATGGTGTTGCACCACGTTTACTTTCCAAGGGGAAAAGCTTTCTGCTTGCTAAATCCAGAATTACTATGCTAGGCCGTGAGAGGCGATGGGACTGCTAAAGCTCAGACATCACCCCAACAACTCCATGAGCTAACACCCACTCTTTTTTTGTTCTCCTTGTACCACCCATTGCACCTTCACCCAGGGCTGAACCGCCCTGAGCTCTTGCTGGGCTTGGGAGTCCCAAGGGCTTCATCCCTTCATCACCCTCCCCTGCACACACCAGGGATCCCTGAGGTGGACACTCAGGTCCCATGGGATGCCCACAGACATCTCATGTGCTGCCCTGTGTTGGTTCTCCTTGCAGAGAGATCCTGCTATTGCCAACTCTTTTCCTGCTGTGGGTGCTGGCAAGGGGGAGGACGTGTCCATGAATGTAGCTGTCACTGCTGCTCCACAAGATAAAGGCAACCCCTCGCTCACTCTCTGGGCTCTCCTTGAGCTCCAAAACCACCCAAGCTGAGCAGGAGAGGTCACCTGGGTAGAAAATGACATTTCTTCACTCCCTCAACCCCAAAATAGCAGCAGCTAAGGGCATGGCATGCCTGGACCTCGCTGATGGCACGTGCGGGCAGGAGGGATTCACACCTCCGGGCAGGCAGCTGGCACAGACCCTCCCCAGGCTCAGCCCCGCAGCGAGCTCAGCCCAGCTTTGCAGCCCAGACGGGCTGCCCTAATTAAAAACACCCAAATTAATTGAGGCGGTGCTTTTCCATCACGGCCTCTGCGTCTGCAAGAAGAGCCTGTGTTGTTCTGCACTGACCTGAAACGATTTGTCGGCGGTCAGTTCAGCCGTGGTGGGAGACGGTGTCTGCTCCCATTACGGCTTTCCCTTCTGATCTGAGCTTGGTTTCCTTGTTTTTTTCCCAAAGAAAAGAGTTTTTGTTCGTGCTTCTCCTTCAGCAGGAGGAAATTTCCAAAGGAGCAGTCACTTTGAATCAAAATCTTTCCCCTCCAAAGAGTCCGCTGCAGTCGGGGAAGATTTTGCCCGTTTCTTTTTGAACTTCTCCCGGATGTAACTTGGGCAAAGCTGGGTGAAACAGGGTGTGGGGCCACCTCTGGGTGCCCTCCCACTGTGGCAGGTGGGACCCTGGGGCAGCCAGTGGCTCTGGGTTTTGAGGAAGATGTGCTTCTCTGGTTGATATTCAAGGAGCGAAAATTGTGGTGTTTTGTTTTTTTTTAATGCAAACTCCTTCTCTAGCCAGGGGAGACCTGAGGATCCATCGTCTCACCTTGTCCAAACCCAGGCAGGACTGAAACCAATACAAGCAACACCCAGACCTGGAGCTTCGTAGTCATTTCACTCTTGGAAAACTATTTCAGATCTTGGTTCTTGCTGGTGAGCTCGGTCCCCACGTTGGCTCCACAGCCCCATTGCCCACCAAGAGGAGAGTGGTCATGGCTTCAGGGGGGATGAGGTGGCTGCACTGACCACCAAAACTCCCCAAATTGATTTATTTTTTTTTTTGCCATGTGCATGAGCTGGTAATGAGCGTGTGCTGGCTGGCAAAGGAAGTTCTGCTTTTGTAGGCATTGACTGAAAATGAGGAATAAAACTCTCAGGGGAAGTGGGCGGGGGGAGAATAAGTATGAATTATACACAGAACTTCACAGGAAAGGCACCAAGTATAAGGATTTATTGAGAGGAGTGGAAAGGTGCCCTTGATGCCTTCAGCTTTGAAGATGGGATTGGAGATTTGAAAGTTTATAGATGGGTTCCGTTTGCTTTGCCTTGATTTTTCTTATCTATGGGGTTTGGGTTTTTTCTTTTTTTTTTTCCTTTCAGTAGGATATTTTTAACCCGCATCCTCTTTTTCCAAGAAGGTGGTGGCTGGGAACATTTTTTCTTAAAATCCTTTTGGAGGATAAGGATAGGAAGGCAATGCACGGGGCTGAGGTAACTCTGGCAGGAAGGATGCCAGCTTGGGGAGGTGGGTGTTTCTGAACTTCCTGAAGAACCAGCTGGTGAAAATCTGAATAACTGGGCTCTTGAAAGCCAGATGCAGGAAGGTAGGTAGAGGTTTCCAAGCAGAAAATCCCACCCATCCGTCCCCTCCTGTAGGGCCATGACATCTTCACTTTCATTTCCTCCTCCCCAGGCCTCTCCATTAAGCAAATGCCTAAAATCCCGAGGCTTTTAGTAAAAAAATAATCCCAAACCTGGTCACCTCTCCCACCAGAACCAGCCAGGTCACTGCTGCCAGCATCCCCAGCCCACCCATCTGGTACAAATCAGTGCTGTGCCCAGGGAGTATCACCCATGGTGAGCCCTTTGGGGAGATCGGGGTTTTGTTGGGGTCATTGTGCATTTGTTACCTCCAGCTCTTCTCCCCAGCACTGAACTTGTTCCCTACAAGAGATGTGGAGAGTTTTACCAGCACTTCTTGCTCCTGCTGGGAATAGGTGTGAGCCCTCCTGGCATCACCCCCCCCTTCAGCTCTGCTCCATGGGAAAGCAGGGGCAGATGTGAGAGGACAAACTGCTGCTTGGTGGCAATAGCCCGTTGGCTAAACTCCTGCTTTGTGTCACATCAAGGGAAGTGGCTTTGGAGTCTTTTTTCCCCACACTTGAGTCTGGAGCCATGATGGCTCGATCTATGGCTGAGCACTGATCACTGCAAACAGGGCAGCTGGAGTTGGGAGGCTCTTCATGTTCTCAGCTGAGGCTGACTTAGGATTTGATGGGGAGGCGGGGAGGACCATGGGGCTGGTGCTCCGGTGGGGCTGCAGCTTAATTGGGGCTGCTGCAATCAATATATGCATGCGAGCGTGCATGGAGGAGCAGCTGGAAGCAGCTGAGGGAAATCCTGCCCCCGTTTGCCGTGGCGGCTGCGGGGCTGCTGCACGGGAGGGCTGTCAGCCGGGAGCTGCTGCAGAGCGCGGCCGCTTTGATGATGAAAGGTAGGAGGGGAGAAAGCTGTGCCATCACAGGAGAGGGAAATCTTTCAAGTTGGGCTGTTTAAGTAGCTGCCCA